AATAAATAAAATTAAAATAAAATAATTAAATAAAAATAAAAATAATAATTATATAGGATAATAAAGTATAAAAATTATAAAGTAAAATAAATAATGAATCAAATATCTTATTATGAAATAATAAATTAAAATATTTCTTAATCTCTCTCAACATCTCTCTCTCGCTCCCAAAAATCAACCCGAAACCCTAGCCGGTAAGCTCGCCAATTGAAGCTCCCTCGCCGGAAATTCGCGTCCGACGGTGGACGGCCTCCATCGCTCGTCCATGGGAGGCACAATCCTCGTCTCAATTGCTGCAGCGGGGCTCTGTCTGAGCGTCGGATTTCGTCGGCCATCGGAGATATATTCTCTGTTCAGGTCGCGCGCCGGAGTTCAGGGGCCGTCGGCATTGATTGGGGTGCAGTGTGGGCTCATGGACGAGGCTGGGTTAGCTGCACTTGGCTCTGGTTGGGACGCCACCTATTCTTCCGGACTGCCTTTCTCACCGCCGATCAAGACCGCGCCTTTCCGCCGGCGAAGCGGCGTTTGGAGGTTTGCCCTTTCTTTTGCTGCTTTTGTCTCGATTTTTCATTTGTCTGTGATCGGAAGGACCTCTCGGTTCTTCCTGGGCGAGTTGGAATCGGTTGTTCACGAGGAGGGGGCCATGGTTACTGTTTGTGCTCGGCTGTTCGTTTGTGTTTCAGTCGTTTCGGTTTGGGATGAATGGTTTGCTATCTCAATCGGGCTGATTCGGTGAAGCCGAGCCGTGTAGTTTTCTTCACGCGATTGGAGTGCGGGCCAACTCTTCGACTAGTTCAGGGGTGCGGGTACCCGTCTTGCTAGGCCTTAAGCAGTGGCGGGCGGTTGTTTTTCGGGCTCGAGAGCTGTTGTTGGAGATGGTTTGTCTGTCGTCATTCTCAATGTTCATGGCGAGGGAGGCTGTGTCTCTTTCTGTTTTTGTTTATGGATTGTTTTTTTTTGTTGTTAGGTTGTGGTTCAGGTTTTCGCTTCTTTAGGTTTATGTTTTTGGTCTGGGCCGTTTGGCCTCTGTGTAGCCGGGTGTCACTTCATTATCCCACTGGGATCCGACACTCTGATATTACTCCGCTGGGGTCTTTTTAGTTGTTGTTTGTTGTTTTAGTTTTTTTTTAGTTGGGTAGTTTTAGTTGCGAGCTTTATTCTAGC